AGAGTAGCCTTTTAAAAATTTTAATCATACTACAGTCCAGGACTGGAGGTTTACACTGTGTTCTTCCCATGTCCCACCCTGTGCTGATACCACAAGATAGACAAAGGGGGGGGGGTGTCAGGCAAAGCACCCACCTGGCTGTGTCCCCAAAAAGAGCTTAGGTGCTTCTTGGCTGAAGGTGTAGTCAGATAAACCCTGGCTGGCCCTGTTCAGAGGCCTTATTATAGGACATGAATTGCCATTATGCCATATGAAGTTACCACAGAACTGCAGGTTAGGACTCACTCAGACTTCATAGCATAAAGCTGTGGAGCCACAAATAGTTTCACATTCACTCACACAAACAGTAGAGAGTTTAAAACATCCCCTCCTTTTGAGGTTCCCTACACTGATAGCTCCCTTATGGGCGGCCATGGGAGGCGATCAATCTCCCCTTCCATCCTTATGGACAGTCCTGGCTATGGTCTTGGGTCCTGGCCTTACCTTATCTGGAAGACTATGCAGGTGTTTATCCAACTCTCCAGGGACTCCGGACACTCCCTTCTGGAGGCACAGGCCCTCTAGGCTCAGGAGATCCTGGAATTGTCAGGTGGCGCTGTCCTGTCTGCTTCAAGGGGCAACCCGTAGTGGTGCCATACAAATTACCATACAAATATCCACACAAATTATTATAGAAATATCAGTGTGGACAGCTTGCCACACTGGTGGCCCAAAGATGGCACAGTTGTCACTTCCCTATCAGGAGACCAAAATGTTGTGGTCAAGAAGCAGTAACTGGCACCCAGAGAGTGGGAGAATTCAAATTTTATTTTACATCAGCAGGCCCAGAGGAGATCAAACTTCAAATTCTGAGCCCCCATCCACAGTTCTCACAGCATTTACAGGCTATCTTGTGCCATAAATTTTCTAGTCTACATGATAGCAGGCCATGTCGGGGGTTTGTTTCTGAAAGCATGTTTACAGAAGCAGACTGTGAGAAGGGGAAAACCTGGCTCTTCTCACAGACCTCTGATAAATCTCTAGCCTGTGTCTGAAGCCAGGAATAGTAGTGTTTACACTTCAAAGGGGAGTAGTCAGGCTCCTAGAGATAGTTATTTACAATCCAAAGGTAGGGTCCTATGGTTAATTAGTTTCCTCAGGAAAGGCTGACGGAAGGGAAGAGGGACTAACTGTTTCCCCAGGCACCAGTTTTTTTATGATAATATTCTTATTATTCCATTTTACAACCAGGCCTGGTTTTGCCATCACACATTAACAGACCAAAGAACACATTAAACCATTACATTAAATCCAAATGCACTTTCAGATACATGGAAAATAGATGGAAGCCAGAGTAGAAGATGAGGAAGGAGAGGGAAAAAAGAATAAATTACAATCAGGGCACTTGAATCCCATATTTGTTTTTGCCTTTCAGGGGACTTGAACCCCCTATTTAACATGACAAGCGACTTGACCCCTTTACAAGTAAACTCACCAACTACTTCTAAGGATCAGTCCTGTTTTCCTGTTGCTGGCATTCACAGTGATCAGCCCTAGTGAGAACCTCTCACATACCCAACTCATATGGATGTCCCTACTTGAATAGGAGCTGAAAGAGAAAGGAAGGAATGGAAAGAACTTCAAGGAGAAGGACCAGTTGACTGACTCACATGCAATTAGAGTTCAAAATTCTACCACGTCCCCAGGAAGGCATCAATCATCACCCCTCTGCCACTTGTATCTGTACAACTTGGGGCATTCCCCAGCCACCTCAGAAGGGGAGCCATGGCAAGTTGGAGGTGATACTGGTGAGGTGTCCAGTTGGGGCCCAGGTTCTTAGCATTCCAAACAATTGAGCAAGACACGCAGAAGTATCAGCAGAACATAGATTTATTGAAAGTGAAATAACACTTTTTAGAGTGGGCCAAGGCCCTGATGTTTGGATGAATCTTGTCTTATATGCTGAGCTGTGTCTTGTTCTCCTCCCCATGGACTTGATTGAAGACCTTGCCCTATTTGTTCGCATTGGTTACTTAACTTTCACCTAATTAGAATACATAACTTGTGGCAGGAGTTGCCATGGTAATGAGACTTATAAACAGACATGACTCATCTCTCCATCTTGCACTCCAGCCAGCATTCTTCTTATACCCTGCCAACATCATCCGGAGGTCCCTAAACTTCTATGTCAGGTTGAGAGAGACATAGTAGGAAAAGTAGAACAGGGAGCTTTGCCTGCAGGGAGGAAAGGAAAATAAAAACACTAGTGGGGGGGTGCTGGGGTTGTAGCTCAGTGGTAGAGCACTTGCCTAGCACATGTGAGCCACTGGGTTGGATCCTCAGCACCACATATAAATAAATAAACAAAATAAAGGCATTCTACCCATCTACAACTACTAAAAAATTAAAATAAAAAAACCCACTAGTGGGCTGTAACATGGGAGGCTCCCACACATAGTGGCTACAGAGAAAAGATCTGGGCAGCCACATATTCACTGGGGGAACATCACATCTGGTGACCCAATCCAATTGGTTTCAGCCTGAGAATGTTGACTCAGTGCCCATAGAAAAGAAATCCAAGTTGAGTGAGTAGGAATATAAGGCAAAGCTTTCAATGGTAAAAGGAAAATGGGTGTTTTATCTTCAGGTGAAGGGGTCAACACAACTGAGAGCAGACAAAATTTCCCTCTAAAATAGTTTAATGTCCTGTCCTTTTATTAAGCATCTGGGGTGGGAAGGGTCTGGTATTTATATGATGATTCCTTCAGGGAATCTCTTGGCATAGCACCATACCTGGTGTTTTTGGTTGGTTTGATTAAGAACAGTACAGTAAGAAGTACTGTTCATACATTGTAAGACTGGGTGAATAGAAAATACTTATCAGTTAAAATTTATGAATGAAAGCCTGAGAGTTCATCCCACATTTTGTCCCATCTGGTCCAAGAGCAAATGAAGCTAAAGGGTTTCTTTTGGTTTTCCTCCTTGTAACAACCTCACCCCCATGGCAATGTAGATGCTAACAGGGCTCCATGTGTTACCCTGTGCTGGGAAAAGCATCTTTTCATCTGGTCAAAGCAGCAAGTGAGTGCTATCTATGCAAACAGTGGTTGAATGTTTGAGTTTTCTATACAGTCAGATATATCCTATTTTTCTTCTTTCCACTGTTCTGTTCCTTAGGAAGCTGACATAAAGGCTACATTGCCTGGCCTTCCTTGCTCTCTCACACTAATCTGAATGAGAGGTAGCAGGCTGACATTAAGGAGCAGAATGAGAGAGTGCAGGACACAGGGAGAAATATTGTGTCATTCAGCCTTGAGTCCCTGAACTTCATATGCACCAGGAATTTCTCTGTTAAGGTGACATAGCCTCATATCATTCCTCCTGAGAAAACGCCTCTTAGAAACTAAGTCCAAGCAAATTTCTCTCTCTCTCTCTCTCTCCCTCTCTCTCTCTCTCCCTCTCTCTCTCTCCTTCCCTCCATCCCTCTCCTCTCCTCTCTACTTTAATGCTGGTTGTTCCTCTTTTAAATTTCTTATTTGTGATTTTGAGTTCAGGAGACACAAGTGCAGCCCTCTAAGGAGATGCTTAGAAGCCCCACCCCTCCAGAAACTTAGGAGTATCCAGGATTTTCCTTCAGGAAATTCAGCCCACCATCCCTGCTCTGTGATGAGGTCTTTTTTAGTTTCCAACTCATCTAGACTCCCAGTGTGAGTGCACACCATTCTGTGGAGAAGTGCTCAGAGATCCTACCCTTGTCTTGATCACCTTCTTCATGCATCCTCCATGGAAGGACAGGAAGTGAGGTGCCCAATAGTTGCTGCTAACTGCTCTGAGGTTCAGCTGAGAGCAGAAGTTCCACCAGAAGCTCCTGCTGCCCTGCTGTGCTAGTGTGGATCTATTTACATACCCAAGTGCTGCTCCATGGGTTTTATTACCATCTAGCACTCACCTCTGAGCTACTTGCTTTTTTCCCTCAGTGGGCTCATGCTATGATTACTCCCCCTTGCCACCTGATGCTCTCACCATGCTAAATCCTCTCTGCACTCGGATGGCCGTGGAGTGTAGGGGGCTATTTCCTCTTTGCCTCTCTGGTTTTGCTTCCCTCCTGTCCTTCAGCATCAGTGCTTCCTCCTCCCTCTCCCCAAAGCTGTGTTTTGCTGGCAGAGGGCAGTAGTGTCCTCCCCTACCCCCTGCTTCCTCTGTCCCCCATCCTCACCTGCACCTCTCAGGACACACTGGGGGATATTTCTGGCACTGCCAAAATCAGAGTGTGGATGGCAAGGGGTACAGAAACAGAAAAGAGGGTGGAAAGGACATTGAGAGGTTCAATCATTCTGCATAATAAAATCTGGAAGAGAACAGGATAAGCAGGGAGAGAGAGGAATAGCCCCTGCAACATAGGGAGAGGAGAAGGAGAGAAAGCAGGTGTTCACTTTATTCAAATGAATTTTCTTCTATTTGGCTGTGATCTGAACAAATTTATTTCACATGGCACAGCGGGGAAGAAGCACCTGGGGATTCCAGTTCTTTGGGAACAATGAGAAAAACCATTATCTTTACAAGGCTCTTGAGGTATAACATTTCCAACAGTCAATGCTCTGATTTTTCATATTAAATAGAACCAACAAAGACACAATGCTTTAGTTTGTAAATTATGCCCTCATGAGCATCATTATGAAAAAGTATTTGAAACCTCCTACCCAGCTCATGGCCTGCTATTAAACAATGTTTCTCACTGAGGCAAGCAGATTTTAGAGTGAAACAGAATGTATGGCCCTCTAAAATGGCTTGGGGGAAGAGTATTTGGTTCTGAGTGGCCAAACACCATAGAGCTATGCCTTCACATTTATTCTACAGATTAATAGTGGAAAAGATGTGATGTGGAGAGTGACCTCACCATCCCCTTGAGTTTGAAAATTCCTGTGTGGAATGTTAGAATGGATAATAGGATCTCTTCCAGGGCAACTCAAGAAGGCTACGTCAGAAAACACACATTGAACAGAAAGAAGTAAAAATACAGCTTCTATGTCAATAGCTGAAACAAGGAAGACTTTTTATTCTACACCCTTTTTTCTGGGTTTTCCAAGATTCTGGGCAGGCATAAGCATGTAAGCCACATGGTGTTTTGGAAAAGGCCAACCCCACCCAGGTTTTGCTCGTTGCAACATCAACAGCCACTTTGACAGATCCACATCACTTTCATGCCTCCCTAGTTGTCTACCTAGCAAAAAACTCAGCACATTTTTGGAGCTTAGTTTGGGTTTTAAGTATTCATCTGCCTTCCTTTTGGTACTCCGTGCCGGTGCACTGGGACTGACTTCACGTCTTCCTTTATCCATGACTGGTTGACTCCACACACAGTCTCAAGAAGACAGCACGACTGAGAAATCCTAAAAAAGACAATGAAATCCAGATAACCAAGTGGACCCATGGACCTCTTCCTCACAGTCACCTCCCTGCTCAGCCACTTGTTACCAGCAGTATAATAATCCCTCCTTATCCACAGGTTCATTTTTCCAGGGTTTTTAGTTACCTGTGCTCAACCTATGGTACAAAAATATTAAATGGGCAATTCTATAAATAAACAATGCATGAGTTTTAAATTGTGTACCATTCTGAAGTGGTGTGATGAAAATCATATGCCATCCCACTTTATCCTGCCCAGGAGTGACATGAATCATCCTTTGTCCAGCAGATCCACACTGGATATATGCTACTTGCTTATTAGTCACTATTTGTGTTCAAGTAACCCTTATTTTATTTAATAATGGCTCCAAAGCACAGGAACAATGATGCAAAGGAGGTACCAGGGCATAAAACATGGAAGAACAGATAAACTTATGGTACAATGTTGCTGAACATATAGGAAAAAGCATAGTTCTTATATAGTTTGGTACTATCTATGGTTTCAGGCATCCACAGGGTTCTTGGAACATAATTCCCCTCAGTTAAAGGGAGACTACTGTATTTATAACAGAGTACCATGGGGCATCATTTGATTTGCAATATCAATGTTATCATTTCATTTTGTTATTCACATGAGTCTGTGCCTAAAATCTATTTTGTTCTACTGATGTATGTACAATTCCTGTTTTAATTTCTAAATCTACCTTCTAGGTTTTCATATCTTGTTGGTCAAGTCCCTTACCAAGATCATCCCCATATATGTTCTCTTCCTTTTAATTGAATAATCAATTTATTGTATTTCATGACAAAATTCTGTTGAAGTTCATGCATGACATTGCACTGAATTCAGACATTAATTTGGAGTAAGAATTGATATAATAATTAATTTTCCTAACTAGAAAAAATGGTATTTTAGTGTGAAATGGGAAACAAAAAGTATTTAATGTATATTTCCTGCTATTTTAAGACAGCAAATTCATATATGTTCAGTAGTCAGTTTAAACTGGACATATTATTTCTATTATGTCATAATTTATTCTTAGAGGAGTATGCAACATCTTTTATGTGTTTCACTTATGTATACCTTTCTCTGGCAAACATCTAGGGAATTGATTTGGTTGATGAAAGAGAAGAGTGGCATTTTTTATAAAACCCTTTTGTTCATAGATTACATTATATCAATAGCATCAAATAAAATGCAAACATTGAAAAAAATGAAGGATTTCTCTATGTACGTACATAGGCTCTCCACAAAAGGTACTTAAAGAAAGAAGCTTTAAAACAATATATGTCTATCTTAGTTTTGTTTCTTCACTGAGCCATCTATATGAATAAAAATGGGATTATTTCAAACTAAGAAGCCTTTGGACAGCAAAGTAAACAATCAACAGAATGAGGGGACAATAGAATGAGAGGAAACATTTGCAAACTATTCATCTGACAAAGAATTAACATCCAGAATATATAAGGAACTAAAAAAAAACCTCAATAAAAAAAAACAACTAAAAAATGTACATATCTGTCAGATTAGGCATCTCTTAAAAAGAAATGCAAATGGTCAATAAATACATGAAAAAAATATTGATATCATTAATCATCAGTGAAATGCACATTGAATATAAAACAAGATACCATTTCATCCCGGTAGAAGAAGGGCAAAAAGACAAATTAAGTGAATAAATGAATGAATGAATAAATGCTAGCCTGTGGAGAAAAGAGAGCAGCCCAAAGGCTGCTCATAACCCTGTTGGTGAAAATATAAATTAGTATAGCCATTGTGGATAACAGTATAAAGATTCCTCAAAAAAATGAAAAATTAGCACTGCCATATGATCCAGCTATCCCACTTCAGGGTGTATATCCAAAAGACAGGAAATCAACATATCGAAGAGATACCCACACTCCTATTTTCACTGCATTATTTACAATAGCCAAGATACAGAATCAATCTAAACATCCATCATTGCATGAATGAATAAAGAAATATGATTCAATTATAAAATGAAATACTGATTAGGTTACAGTTCTTATAATCTAATAATTTCACCTCTTAATATTTCCTGCATTATCTCACATAAGCTTTTGGGGGACATCTCATATCCAAACTATATCAGGCACAGAGAGACAACATCATCACAGGTTGACCCACATATATTTGCTTACCTGTTTCTTCCAAAGGAATTATCACTAGAACTATAACACAAAGAAGGAAGCTAGTCAGAGGGAAGGTACCCAAAATCAAAACCAAACCAAACCAACCAACCAACAACAAAGCAAACAAATAATAAAACTACACAGTGAAACTGACAATGGTGTTCAATGCAAGAGAGCAGACTTAGAGAAGAATCTTGACTCTATGACTTTAAGAAATTCTTATTCAGGAGGAAAAAGAAGAGGTGATGAGTCTCATTCTCCAAGTTCTTAGGCTCCCTTGGCCTCTCCCATTTTACCAGTAAAACAGTAATGAGCAGAGTAACACCAGCTATACCAGCCAGCTGTTAAGGGATGTCTTGTCTGTCTTACAGTCACTTTTCCAAGGGTTTTACATACAGTAGCTCATACAGCTGGGGTGTAGCAATGTTAGTACTGTAGGTGTACATCCAGTAGCTTATTTAACCTCATAACAGCTTGGGGTGTGTGCTATCATTCCTCTTTATCCAGGGCAGGAAACTGAGGCACAGGAAAGTTATGAAACTGGTCCAAGGTCACACAGCTAGTATGTGACAGAACCCAGATGTGAACCCAGTTAGTCTGGCTTTAGAAACCCTGGATTTTCACTCTTACAGGATGCCTCCTTTTGATCCTCATGGAAGACAAGCAAATGATTCTTGTCCTCCATTTTTTTTTTTTTTTGGTCACAGAACATGGTATCAGTGTCTTTATGTGGTTTTATTTAGAGTAGGAGAAAACCCAGATGACTGGGTCTTTCCTGCCACTCAAGAAAGGGAATGTGTGACCTGGGTGCCACTTACAAGCATCTGTGTTTCAATTTCCTGTTGTTATGAGACCAAGTTGGATGGCCAGTGTGGGGATAAGTCACATCTCTCATAGTAACTGTATTAGTTCCTCAATAGGACATTACAAATAAAAAAAAAAAAAACCCTGTCCTCACCACTAACCATCTGACAGCCTACAAAGAGCCCTGTACTACATCTCAATAATACCCACATGGGTCATACTTTAATAGTAACAATATAATTTTTCTGGATCAGAGACTTAGAAGGTACTATGGTTTGAGGAAATATGGACTATTCACAGCCAACAGTTCTGCAATTAAATACCCATCGATGTGAATTGTGTATTATAAAATTAGTGACTGCAGAGTCATGATCAAGGCTGATATAGACATTAAGAAAGAATAGAGAATCCTACCTGGGAATGAGTTCCCTTGCAGCACTCACTGGTGATTGGATTTTGAGACCCAAATTGTGATCACTGCCCAATGCGCTTGTTTGGAAATGTGATGAACACTGTTAGGATGTTTTGGTAAGTCTTACCACAAGAGAAGATTCAGCGAAGAGAGTTCATATAAGGTAGGGAAGAGCTTTGAGGTCAAGATAGCTGAAGTGTCAAGAGAAGAGATATGGAGGTCGTACCTAAACATAAGTTTTATCTGTCCCCTCTTTCAGAACATCCTACTCACTGTATTTAGCCCTGAATTAAAAGCCACCAAGGCAGTGGTGGCCAGGGCTCAGATCTTGCCATTGTATGCAGTATCAACATTCTGAGATCCATTATGAATCACCATGACTCCACCCAACCAATCAGGTACTGGGACAGGGAAAAAACTTGAGAGGAAGGATTTTTCCTCTCTTTTCCTACCTTCTCTTCCAGACCAATGCTACTCTTTTAGGAACTGAGGCTGCTCAGTGGTCTGAGAGACAAATCATCCAGATAGATCAAGAAAATGTACTCATCATCAACAAACTAATCAAATTAATGAATAACAACCCCACTGTATAATGACAAGGTAGGATTGTCATTTGCCCAAATTTGTAAAAAATCCCTGCATACAAAATGATTAGGAACACAGGCTCAAGAGACAAGTGGTTTCATTTCTAATCTCAGCTCTTGGTGACTTGGGGCAAGTTCCTAAACTTCTCTGATCTTCATTTGAAAAGTATAAACAATAGCACCTTCACCCTTGGGTGTTTGTGAGTATTCAAGGAGATAATACCACCAAAGTACTCAGAAACAGTAGATGGCATGTGGTGAATTTGCAGATGACCTTAGTATTTATCACTGTGGCCATCTCAGCCCACCTCTCTGAATAAAGCAGTTTTCATTGAATTTTTTCATTTCCTTGAAAGTCGGTCTCCCTGGTGGTATTGTTTCCTCTCTTTCCCTCATTTCTAAAGAAGAGATCTTGGGGTAAGACAAAGTTCACAGTACTCACAGTTATCAGAAAAGGAAGGCTCCTGGATGTCAAGCTGTTCTGTACCGCAGCTGATAGGAAGGTCCTTGGCTGTGCAATCACTTGTATTCTCTAAAGAGAGGATATTCTGTTTTTTTTTCCCTGAGAGTTTAGCCAACACATGCTGTTGGGACCCTCAGGTGGGGTAATTCAGGATAAGCCAAACTCCCAGAGAGCTAAAATAACTACCCTTAGAGGTCATGCATAAGCTCAATTCCACTTCTTACCGGGACAGGGAATTCCAAGGTCTGCCTGTGAGCCCAGTAGGTCCCAGTCTGCGCAGTTAGGCCTGAAGCACTGCTACTAATGATATTGATGGTGCTTGCGTGAGTCATGACCCCATGTCACATGAAAGATCATGAGATCCTATAGCCTAGGGCACACTGACCTTCAGCCTATGAATATAGTTGCTGGTGGCAGGGAGGAGAGTGTGTCCTCAGGCAAGAAAATGCATTTTCATTAATGTAGTAAGAGGCACAAATGAAAAGGTGAGCTTCATGTCCACTTGGTACAAAAGTTAATATAATACAAGCAACATCCTGTATTTTAAGTGGAGCAACTTTAGTAGTGAATACTAAATTTATAGAAATCTAGACACAATAAGACTCTTCCCTCTTACCTTGCAAATCAACTTGTTATTAATTCAAATGCTTCCCAATTTGCCTCACCTGGATCAAGAACACAATTACTAATGCAAAGTAAATGTATATTCAAATAAACTTTCCATATCCCTGTTGTGCTGACTTTTCATCTTTTTTCATCTCTTGTTTTTCTTGTCTGTAAAGAGGGGTCCTAGTCACTCCTATCCCACAGTTTGTTAAGAAAATGTCCCTCATTCTAGTGTTGTTGAATTTATTTGTTTGGTACTGGGGATTGAGCCCAGGGGCACTTTACCTTTGAGCTACATCCCCAGCTCTTTTTTTTTTTAACTTAAAAGCAGGGCTTCAGTAGCTGGGCATGGTGGTGCATGCCTGTAATCCTAGCAGATCAGGAGGCTGAAGTAAGAAGACTGCAAGTTCAAAGCCAGCTTCATCAATTTAGCAAGACCCTAAGCAACTTAGTGAGACTCTTGTCTTAAAAATAAAAAAATAAAGTGGCTGGGAAAGTTGCTCAGTGGTTTAGCACCTCTGGGTTCAATCCCAGGCACACATATGTATACACACACACACACACACACAAACACAGATAGGTTTTCACAGTTTTCCAAGGCTGGCCTTGAACTTGCAATCCTCCTGTCCCAGCCTCCAGAGTCACTGGGACCAGGCTTGTGCCACCATGCCTAGCTCATATTCCAGTTTTGATCTTTGACTACAGACAGATTTTAATCCCTACTTTGCAAATCACATTCTACTCTCCAGAAAACCTCAGTATGTGTCATAAATATGTTCATAATCTCTTGGAGCATATATGGTATCATTAGGCTCAAGATCTAAATCAAATTTGAGCATAGCTGTAGGGTTGATAGGTATTAGTACAGTCAGCAGGTTGTCTAGACAACTGCTGCCACTTGGTATCTTTCATCTCTTGCTTTGTTTCCCTCACTGGCAGAAGAGATGTGCTCTGAGTTGCTTTCTATAGGCCATTTGCTTTTTGAGATGTGCTGCTTTGATCTGCATTTAATGAATCTTATAAGCTTCCATTTAAATTGCCTAATTTGGAAATTTCAAAGATTAGCTTTGGGGAGTAGAACTATGGGATTGGGGCCCTCTTTCTTAAAATGACTCTGGATTATGGGTCTCATTCCAGAGAGATCTGTGCATCTCAGATTTCATTGGGTGTGTTGATTCCAACATAAACCATGACTGGCACTATGCATTATGCTTAGGGAAATGACTCTTATCATGTGGCCACTGGTTGTGCATCTCAGACATTGGTTCACTCTCCCCCACCTGCCTGTGCAAGGGATTGAACCACTGAGCTGCATCCCCAACACTTTTATTATCTATCTATTTATTTATTTATTTATTTATTTTTGTGGTGCTGGGGCTTGAACCCAGGGCCTTGCACATGCTGGACAAATACTCTATAACTGAGGTACATCCCCTATCCTTTTTATTTTTTTATTTTGAGACAGGGTCTCTCCAAGTTGCTGAGGCTGACCTCGAACTTGTGATCTTTCTGCCTCAGTCTCCTGAGTCTCTGAGATTACATGCATGCACCATCACTCTCAGCCCACTGGCCTACATTCTATCAAGCTCAATGGAAAGAAGTATGCCCTTTGCAATATGTATGCCCCTTGGTTATTCATTTCTAGGAAGAGCAATTACCATATGTGATGCTGATTTAATGTTCCTAAAGGCAAATGTCTCTCTAGGACCCTGCAAAATGTTTTTGGTATTGCTTTTAACCATGACTCTGTTACAACAGACCTTCTGACCCTCAAGGTAATGAGGTTCATGGCATCTCTATGGCAGAACCAAGAGGTTAATTAATGCAAACATAAATTAAGCTTGGGACCCTTATCCACAGTAAAGCATTCACTGCTGTTGGGGAAGCTTCTAATTGTTCACAATGACTTGAGATTATCTGAAAGAAGAAATCAGTAAATACCAGCAGGGTTTAGAGCATACCCTGCAGTGTATCTACTATTCCTTTTAAAAATCTGGATATAAGAAGAATTTTTTTTAAAAAAAGAAGCCAAAAGGGAGGTCCATAATTTGACATAATTGGAAAACCAACATGTACCAAAATAGCCAAAAAGTAAAAGAGTGTTGATTGGTTTTTATGCCTCTGAGTTCTGATTTAGTTTTAACATCTACTAAAATGCACCAATTGGTAAACCTTCATGATCTTAATCAGTACTAGGGCACAAAGTACAGCTATATCTGGGAATCCCACTGAATTTAAACAAAATACTTCCTTTTCTCTTAGGGCAGCTATAAAAAAATAGAGGCTATAGAGGTATATGCTTCACCTTAAACAAAAGAAATATTTCCTTGCCTAAATTTCCCATAATCATAATACCCATTTTCCTAAAATATCGTACAGCAGGCATGGATACTCTGACCCAATGAATAAAAAAAATAAGCCTTTGGCAATAATAATCAACATTATTTTAAAAAATCCCAGGGGATACCACGTACTCTGCAAGTTGGATAGTTAATATAGCCCAATGTAAGATAAAAACTCATTATGTATTATTATATACTATAACTCATTGTATACTATTTAGAGAAGTGATTATCCACACTGCCTCTCCATTTAACAACCCTATTAGACCTGTTCTTAAACTTGGAAAAAAGAACGAATGGCGCCTCCCTGTGGATGTCCTAAACCTTGATGTTAAAGTTCACCCATTAAGGTCCTTATATTAGTTTTTATTGCTGCTATAAAAAAGCAACAATAACTTAGTAGCGTGAATTTATGCAAATGTATTATTTTAAAATTACAAAAGTCACAGGCTTATTATGAATGCCAGAGGTCAGAGAGTGGGGCTGGGAATGGGAAAGACAGTATTGAATCGGACATAACTTTCCTATATTCACATATGAATACACAACCACATCATTTACCACCATAAGAATGGGAAGTTATACTCCATGTATGTATGCTATGTCAAAATACATTCTACTGTCATGTATACTAAAGAGCAAATAAACAACTTTTAAAAATCAATCAATAAATAATAGATCAGAGGTCACATCTCATTCCCTGAATCTGACAAAGCTATTGATTGACTGTCTCTACCCATATTAAAACAATTCCAACATTTTTAATTATTTGGCGGTTCTGGAGACAACATGTTCATTATTTAAGAATTTTATGGGCCGAGGTTGCAGCTTAGCGGTAGGATGCTTGCCTAACATGTGTGAGGCACTGGGTTCCATCCTCAGTACCACATAAAAATAAATAAATAAAATAAAGGTATTGTGTCCATCTACAACCAAAAAAATTTTTTTTAAGAAAGAATTTTATGTAAGCCTACTTGTATTAATACTTCAAATCAACTCACCTCAAATAGGACTCCTTCTATGGTTTGCATTCATAATATACCCCAAAGACTCGTGTGTTAAAGGCTTGGTCTGCAACGTAGCAATGTTCAGAGTTGTGGCTCTTGGAAAGTGATTGGATCATGAGAACTCTATGTCATCTCTGGATTAATCTATTGATGATTTAATAATTGGATGGAATTTTGGGGAAGTAGTGGAAAATAGAGAATGTGGGGCCTACTTGGGGGAAGTAAGTTATTGGGCCTCTATCCTTGGGAACTATACCTTGTCTTTGGCCCCCTTCCTCTCCCTCTCCTCACCTCTCTGCTTCCCAGGTGCCATGAGTTGAGCAGCATTACTCTTATGCCCTTCAGGTCTGAGCAACTCAGCAAAACCCTGTCTCTAAACAAAATATTTTAAAAAGGACTGGAGTTGTGGTGATGTGGCTCAGTGCTGGGTTGAGAGAGAGAGAGAGAATCAACTACAGAAACCTTGTCTTCCTTGGTTTCTGTTAGCTCTGGAAAATTCTAGGTAAAGATGTTTTCAAGATGGAAGAATAGAGGAGGTCCCTTTACTGGCTGCTTAGTGGTGTGAAACCAAGAAAGCAGGTAGGCAGCTTCTCAGCAAGGCGGGTGAAAAAAATGGGGGCACTTTACTGGGAATTAATGTTGGAAATTCAAAGCAGATCAGGGACTCAGGAGGCTGGAGATGATAGGGAAGAAATCCCCAGCACCAGCACCACTACTGCCACTGCCGCCACCAGCGCCTGCTGGAGCAGCCCCCGCTCCCCCAGCAAAGTAGAGGGATAAGGGAATTAAAGGAAGCCACATTTTAGGAGGTGTACGGTGTGTCTGGGTATGGAGAAAGCAGAGACCAGAGACATTGCCCGACTAACCTGAAAGGCCTGCTTCACAATATCCTTGTGCTAGAAAGAAGCCACATCACCCCTGGAAGCCTGTAAACCAGGAAGGAGCCGTTTTGTAGCTGCGCCACAGGCCTGGACGCGGGGGAAGCAAACCTGACAACCCAAGCGGGGCACGAAATACAGACCTGTAAAACCCACACCACTAGACACAAAGAGTACCTAAGTGATGAAGAGAAAATCAGCTGGAGAAAGGGGTTTATATAGGGGAACACAGGTCGTGGTAACTCACCCAGGTCCGCCTCCTCCTTAACTCCAGCCACTTGCAGGACTGGCTGGGAGAGACACGCCCTGCCAGAATTCAAAAGGGAGGGGGAAGGAGTGGGAGTGATTGAGTTTGGAGACTGAACCTGAGAGACCAGGA